CAACTGTTTAACTTTTCATCATAGTGTGTGAATCTATTATAAATCCCAAATAGGTAATTGACTGGCAAGGTTTAGAAACTGATTTAGTTGGATGTACTGTAAATCCAGCCTTTAATGATGCATAGACTGTGTCAATAACATTTGTTCTACAATCATCTAATAAACTGTCTTCTATGAATGCAGTGTTCAAATGACCTTTGTGAAAATAACACCTTTGTTAATTTTGTAAACTGTCTAGGTGCACTTGAAAGACCATTGGGTAAAGACGTGAATTGAAATAATTGACCTTCCCATTTGAATTTAAGGAATTTTCTCTGAAATATAATTACATTTACAGAGTAGTAGGTCTCAAACAAATCTATAGAAGCCATGTAGCAATTGCGTGTGATCAAATTTAAAGCATGAGAAAGTGTTTCCATTTTGAAATATCTGTACACAACAGATTCGTTAAATTCTTTAAGGTCTAAAATAATCCGCAAGGAACAATCCTTTTTGCCCCTCGTAAATATATTAGAAACATATTGAGCTTCTTCATTAATGGTTTTTTCAATTATGCCTTTCTCTAACATTACAGAAAGTTGTTCCAACATGTTTTTTTCTTATCTGAAGGAAACTTATAGGGATAAGGTATTCTGTTCTGATCAGGTAAATCTGACAATTCAATGGTGACACCTGCTACATCTTTTGATACATTTCGTCTGATGTCATACTTCTCCAAAATTTTCTTTTAATTCTCCAGCCCTATATTGCTGACAAATAAGTGGGAGATTATTAAACCTTGTACAAATTGATACCAATCTAAACAACTGGATTTTAAAATATAACTTACTAGATCATTTCTAGGTATATCTTGCGAAGAAAGTTTATCTACTGTCATTTCTTCTGATAATCTCTTTTTTCTTTCCCAGACCATTTTTACTGGATTTTTCCTTTTGTGTCCCCCTTCGATTGTATAAAAAAGGCTTCCTGTAATTGAGTTTGAAATCGGTGTAACGTCTTGGGTATTGACCACTACCTGAAGCTGGAGCTACATTGGAGCTTACTTGGTTTACGTCTTTGAGGTCTTTTATCCTCTTGCCTAGCTCTTCCTCAAAAAGAAACTTGGAAGGACCCAATTGACTTGCAATGTTAGCACTACAAAGTTGATGAAATTTCTGATTTAAATCAGGTTTGAGTGCTTCTCGTCTTTGTTGATTTAAGGCCTGATAAGATTGGCCCATTAATGTCATTGCATCCATAGCTATTTTGACAACCTTAGTTAAACTGTCGGATTGTTTCCGGAGTGAAATAAGTTGGCCAACTAGAACTATGACTAATTCTGTCTTAAATTTTCTGATAGTTTAAGTCATTTGTTCTCGTTGCTGACTTGATGTTGGACCAAATTTCCCTGTTAACTAAGTGCTTGTGAATCTCCACATTTTGTGGCCTTAGGTATTTCTCCAAGATTTCTTTCAGTTTCTCATCTGTTAAATAGCCAGAGAAAAGTTTATTCATGATTTCAGTAACTTTACTGCTGATAGGCGGCCCAGTTTTTTCCTTGGACGCGTTGTATTCTGCAGACAGAAAATCTTCAAATTCAGAAGAATCGTCGGTCTTTTTATCCTGTTCCGATTTGTCAGTACGAGTAGGAATAGTGCTTGACAAATGTTCGTCGATTTGATCAACAACATGTTTAGCATAATCTCTTTGAGTAAGAGGGAAATCCTCATCAGAATCACTCATTTCGTGAACGCGTTTACTTCTCTTTCGTCCATTAGGCCTATTGGCATTGTTTATATCGTAAACAGGTCTGTCGTCTTCACTGACGATTGGCAATTTCCTCAGAGTATGAACGGGATTTATCCCTATGTTCTTTTTCGTTCGTCACAAGTTTTGCGCCGATGGCAATGGCGGTCTCTCTACATTGGCTACCCTTTCCCCCATCCACTTCACCAGTTGTGGTGTTATCAGTATAGTTGGTATATTTTTTGAAGATTTAGGATTCTTATTTTCGATGAGTGTTTGGTTCTTTCGTCTTTTCACGTTATTGTCGAAAATTTCGCTTGTCAAATCAAAGCTTTCTGAGATCGAGGAAGGTTTTGGTGTCGATGTAGAGGACGCCATATTGAATCTTCGTTGGCTTTTCCTTTCGGAACTTCAAATGCCAATTTGACTGTTTTTAAACAGATCTTCAGGCTAAAAATTATGTTAGATTCTACTGAAACAATTGTGTGTAATATTATCAACAAATTCTCAAGGAATTCTTGGTAATAGGTTAGGTTTCGGGGAAGTTTGATTCTCCCAACTATACAGGCCTAGGGTGGAGCAGACACTTTATTTAGAAATTAGGATTAAGGGTCTTGATATTGGGTTTTCTTCTGTTCTTATTCTGATCTGAAATTAGAAAAAATAACTCGCCCGATGGGCGAGAAGTATAGTATCTGTTATGTACTGATTGTTTTTAGTTTACTATGAACAATATTATCATTTAAGTTCTTATTTTTTGAATATGCAACTATCATTTTCTGCTTATAGACATGGGGGAATTTCTCTTGAAGGCTCTTATAGTGGGCATGAACTATCTTGCTTGCTCGATTGCTGGTTGTATTAAACGGGACAACAAAGGATGTTATGCCTACATTATGATGAATATTTAGTCCTATAGCTCTTGCTGTATTCAATGTCTCAATCCAATGGGCTTCCCTAGATTGACGGAATTTGGTAGTTTCATCTTCGGGCAAGTCAATTTCTATACGCTCATTAGGGTGAGATCGTCTATTGAATGGTCGTCGAGGTTGAAATGATTAGAAACAGGCTTGTCTTTCTTTAATTTGATGTCTGAACTATGAGCATTAAAACGAGTTCGTAAATTATTCTTAGTTTCTCCTACATATTGTTTGGGGCATTTCTTGCATGGAATTAAATATATTACATTCGAATGTTCACATGTTAGATGTTCCTGGATCGGGTACCTTTTATTCGTAGAGTTGCTTACAAAATAATGAGTTTCTGATATAAAGGGACATGTTTTACATCTACTGGACAAACAAGGAGCACTTCTTAAACCTGGAGGTACTTCGGCATAAAGTCTGTTTTTAGTTGCTATCTGTGCTAAGGTGGAATTTTTTATGTTTCGTAAAAATCGTTTAGAGTACCCACGCTCTTTTAGTTTTGAGAAAACAATCGTACAGGTTTGGTTGAAATCAGAAGATCTTGTACAAATTCGATGAAATCGTAAAACTTGTGACTTAATTATACCAGAAAAGGTATGTTTTGGGTGAAAGGAGCTCTTGTGCAAGAGTTGATGAGTATCGGGTTTCTTTGAAATACACTTTAATATCCAGTTTATTTGTTTCTGCTACGGAATCTCCCTTAAAGACAGTGGTATCGAGAAAGTCTATGCTTTTGTCACTCACGTTTGCGGTTAGTTTGATAGAAGGATGGTGGTTGTTGAGAATTTCAAAGAATTCCCAAAACTGTTCGATAGAATAAGTCCAAACCATAAAAATGTCATCCAAAAAGCGTCCGTAAAAAAGTGGGTCAAATGGACAGAGGGGCAACACCTCACGTTCCCACTCTGCCATGAAAAGATTTGCGTACGAAGGGGCGAATCGTTTGCCAATTGCTGTCCCTGAAGTTTGTAAATATGTTTTACCATTAAATGTGAAATCGTTTCGACTAAGACAAATCTCTAAAAGTTGTAGAATTGCATCGTCGGGTCTGTTTGGATCTGGGTTTCTATTAAAAGCTTTACGAACTGCCGTTAAACCAGTAGTGTTATCGATATTGGTATACATAGAAGAAACGTCGATAGAAATTAAAATAGCATTAGAGGGAACTCGAAGATTTTTTATTTTATTGACAAAATCGGTTGTGTCTTTAAGGTAGGCGCGATGTTGACATGCTAGAGGTAGTAAGAAATGATCACTGTATTCTGACACTGCATATGACTCACCACCACAGTCAGATATAATCGGGCGGCCTTTAGGGATTTTATTCGAGATAAACCACTCCTTGGTTGGATTCTTATGGATTTTAGGCAAAGTGTACAAATGTCTCTCACGACAATCAGGTTTGGCAGACAGATAGTCATATTGTTTCTGTTTGAGATAACTAGTTTTGACTAAATCGGCAAGAATATTATTAATCATGTTAGCAGTTTCTTTGAAAATTGGTTTCGGTAAAATGGCATAATGTTTAGGATTATTCAGTTGATTCTCTGCTTCTAAAACGTAATCCTCCCTATTCAGAATGACACAACATGAGCCTTTGTCACTCTTTTTAATAACAATGCTGTCGTCTTTCTTAAGTAAGTTTAACGCTTCACGTTCCATTCGTGTGAGATTAGGCTTTTCGTGTGTTATGGAAAGGTTCACTGTTTGGCTATTCATACTCGCAAATGCTTTCAATATTTCAGGATGGATGGCGGCCTGAGGGGGTGTCCACGTGGATTTAGGAATAAACATTGTTCTAGTACCACGTGGGGGGTGGTTTCGAAAAAAATATGTGCAGCTAAGATTTCGTTGAAATCGTTCAATGGATGGTCGGAGATAATTCAAGTTAGCTATCTTTGGTGTGGGAATGAATTTAAGTCCACGGTCTAAGATTGAATGCTGAAGGGGTGTGAGAATTTTGCGGCTCAAGTTAACTACAGTTTGGCCTAGCGGTGGCCTCTCAGTATTTTTATCCCCAGTAATTAGTTTAATGACTTACTCGATGCTTGAAGCTGGTGTATCCAGGCTCGTGCCGTATCTCACGTGACCTCTAAGTTACGTCATACAGTGTAAGGAGAATTTGTATTAAAACGTTATTGGTATACATATCACAATGGTAATGACGTTCATTTCCAAGCTGCTCTGGGGTTGGAGGCCCCCCCTTAGGACTTGGTTCAGCCAGTCCCGATGGTAGTTGAGCTAATGGTATGTTAAGGCATAATTTACTACAGTTAGACCTCTAGCAATTTGTTCTATTGTACAAAAATATGACAGAAGGTTTCAAAGAGAAGAAATGATAACAATCGGAACAATTTACATTTTTTTATCAACCAAAGACATAAACAAAGTTACAATCTTCTTGGCTAGCGATACTCAATCAATTTTTTAGCCAGGAAATCATACAGCATGTTGTTGAAGTCATTGTTGTTTATTTTAGTTTTCAGATTGTTTATAAGATATCTTTTCCAGATTAAGTATGATGGTGACTGACAATAGAGCTATCTATAGACATCATTTTGGATCTGATATGGCTAAATCGAGTACTCCATACGTTTTGGTAATCATGTAGAGCTGCTGTGTGACCTTTCAGTTGATGGTAAGCCAGTTCCAACTTTGCTGCTTTCATCAACAATTTAAGAAGCCCCAGCATAAAGGTTTGGCTTTTTCCTCTGTTGTACTTGGTTTGTTTGACAACATTAGTAAAAAGACCACCTCCAAACAACCGCCCTTCATTCATGATGCCGTCGTAGAGTTTTAAACCACTATTTTTATAAACAGCCTCGAAGTTATCGACGAAGGTAGAGGTTACAATCTTAACAGCTCCTGTTGAAAATGTGTAGATATTTTCGAAGTCCCTATTAACAACATTAATATATTGCTCAATATCAGAATACTGTACTGATATTTTACTCCAATCAATCAGGTTTTTCACTTCGTTGAATTCTAAATCATATTTATCGAATCGATTGTCAACTTCTTTGTACAGACGTTTAATGGATTTAAGTTCAGCTGATTCAGATTGTCCGAAAAATCCCATGATGAAGGAAACGAAGGGTCCAACGATCCCGAGATAGGGAGTTACAGCAGTAGCCAGTTTTCCAATGACATTGTTGAAATTTTTAGCCACAATAAAGTCACCAAGTTCCTTAGCTACTGATAAACCATGTTGGATGTTAGAGGCAGTGTCTCTTATTTCCTTGGTAGTAGTAACAGTCACGTACAATACCAATAAAACACCAGCCAGCACCTTCCAATTCATGTCTGAAAATTTAATAGAAAAACCATGAATTTAGGTGTTCAGGTTTGAACAGTGTCTCATGAAATGCGACTCGTCTTTTTAACTTTCGAATGTGGATAATTCTGGACACACGTGGATTTGAAGCCTCAAATTTCGACGGTGAGCTGTGAACACTATAACTGATTGGCTGAGCTAAAAGGAATCTCGTTTTTGAGACAAAGGTATGATTGATACAAAAAGTTGGAACACCTTTCCCTTTAATCTAGTTTGTGGTTCGTTCCTCCAGCGCTTGTTGAGATTTACAGTGAAGTATTAATTCCAGTGCTTGTTTGCATGTAAACCGAAACATCTGCCTATATTCCAGTCTCTGATAGATATTTTGAAAGTTGGTTAGTGTAGAGACAATAAACCTAATTTACAGTCATCGTAAAGGTTAATTTAATATTATATGAGAAAAAAGTCGTCGGAGGTGTAGAAAATCCCCATATAATAGGGCCTAGTTTTTCTGACTCCAGTCAGTATATGTCAAAATATCTATCAGAGCAGTGCTTCTCATTCTTTTTTCACCCTGTTCACCTCACATCTGCACTACCAGATGCCACCGACCCCTTTCAATAATCAAGTAAATAATTTTATTCACATTTACTGAATATCACTCTTTATTACAAAAAATAATCAATATTAATATGGTCAGATTTTGATAATGAGATGATAGTTCTTAGTGTGTGCCGCCCTGAGCTTGATGTTCACGAATCAAAGATTTACTGTCCGGTATCAGTCTGGTCAGCTTCAGACACAGGTCTTCACGTCTAGTTATCAGTGGCGGAGCCAGGTTTACGTCCTAGGGAAGGGGGGAGTGGGTGGGGGCGAAATATCCGAGCTTGCCTGAATTTCTTACCTAGATTTGAAATTTTTACCTGCAAAAGTTGCTCTCATGGCTGTGAGGGTTAGAACTGCCCCACTTCGGCTTCACCACTGCTGGTTATGTCTAGAGATCCGCACTTTTTAAGTCTTTACTGACCCAATTCGGAGAGTTGGGAATTTTACACCCACCGCCTCTAAGATATAATACAATAGTTGTGTTTATGTTTTGACAAATGTCTGTGTTTGACTATAATAATGATCCTATAACAAAACACAGGACAATATTATAGAATATAACACACTTCTTTAATAAGATTAGGCACATATGTGTTTTATATTCCATAATATTGTCTTGTGTTTTGTTATATGTGCTCCTCGCTTCTATATGTCGTTCAAATCTTACAATAATAAACCTACCTGGATGATTTCTATAATAATGTCTATGATAGTATTTAATTTTCTCTTTTTATACTAGGAGAATAGATAAGACATTCAAATTAAGATACAGCCAGACAAGGTAATATACACCCTGCAGCTTTGATTTTAAATAAAAATATTTAGCAGTACAGTAACAATTACCAGTATGAAATATTCAACCTTCAGTCATACACTTCTTTTAAACTGAACAGATTACAAAATCTCTCAAGAATTGTGCCATCTAGAGTGTTTACGAGCTAACAATTTAAAGCGTTTCCAAGAACAAGGGCAATGACTCATACCAATTATTTTTCTATTTTTCTGATTTTAATAGGGTTCATCCTTGGGTGATAACAGACACTCCTACCATGTTTCGTCAAAATCTGTCAAGAATTGTGTCTTGTAGAGTGTTTACGAGTAATTGTAGACTGACGGACGGACGAATGGACATGGGTGACACCAATATTGTGAGGGTATAAAGATAAGGCTGACAACGATAGTGAATAACAGCTGTCTAGAGGAATAGGAAAATCATGTCAGATTAAAATGCACAATTGCACAAAAACATGACCTTCATTCTTCTTATCTAATAATGGTGTCAAAAGACAGAAAGATAAGATTACAATCGACATGTGTCCATAGCTCGAAATTTGAGTCTTGAAACCCATGTGTCCATGTTATCCGCATTGGAAAGTTAAAACGACGAGTCGTCTTTTTATGAGACACTGTCATATAGTGGGGATTTATGTATATATGTTATATAATTATATATGCATTTCTGAATTGTCTATATTTAGTAACTAACGTAACTCCTGTTGTTTACATTCAACCGGAAGTAGAGTTTCTTCTAGAATATAGGGCTGTACTTGTTATATAAAGCCGTACATGATAATTTGGCCAATCAGCAATTGTTATAAAATGTGGTGCATTGGGAAAAGATGTTTCGCTTTGCACGTGCAGTGTGCAACCTCTTTAGGTATAAAAGTACAGATTTCAGCATTATTTAGTCAGTCAGTCAGTCATGGGCTGGAACTTGCTGAGTTTGGCTCTGTAAGCTTGGTCTGTGGGAGTTACAACAATCCTCTCATAGATTTAAGTGTTAACAGATGGCAAGTCCGTAATGATCTGATTATTCGGTTTGTGGTTTAAATTTAGCCCGGGTTGGGTGGACTCTAGATAATCTACTACAGGAACTTCATTGTTCCGCTTTAGTAGTGAACCTGTTCTAAATTAGGATAAAAGACTCATAATCTGGGAACATTTATTGGTAAATATTTCGTAATGTCTTTGTCAAATGTGTTCGTTTTGTGAAGTTTTGTAAATGTTATGAATAAAAGTATTTAGTTTAATCTTATTCCTTAGATATATATCGGAAACACCTATACAGAATCTTGATGGAAAACCTGAATTCCTGATGAACATTACTTGGGGGCTTGGCAGTTGAATTATAGAGCTGTTCAGGAACCATTCAATCTCTCCTGCTACAATAAAAAGACATCTATAGAAATAGGAAAATAAATTTCTAGTTTGAGATAATTTTGAAGAAATTATGTGATTTTTCTAGTATTTCTGAAGACTATTTACATATATTCAAGACTCAAATTAAAGCTTGGACTGTTAGGTCTCTTATAGTGTTGGTGTGAACACAGTTTGGACTGTTAGGTCTCTTATAGTGTTGGTGTGAACACAGCTTGGACTGTTAGGTCTCTTATAGTGTTGGTGTAAACACAGCTTGGACTGTTAGGTCTCTTATAGTGTTGGTGTAAACACAGCTTGGACTGTTAGGTCTCTTATGGTGTTGGTGTTAACACAGCTTGGACTGTTAGGTCTCTTATGGTGTTGGTGTGAACATAGCTTGAACTGTTAGGTCTCTTATAGTGTTGGTGTGAACACAGCTTGGACTGTTAGGTCTCTTATAGTGTTGGTGTTAACACAGCTTGGACTGTTAGGTCTCTTATAGTGTTGGTGTGAACACAGCTTGGACTGTTAGATCTCTTATGGTGTTGGTGTGAACACAGCTTGGAATGTTAGGTCTCTTATAGTGTTGGTGTAAACACAGCTTGGACTGTTAGGTCTCTTATAGTGTTGGTGTGAACACAGCTTGGAATGTTAGGTCTCGTATGGTGTTGGTGTGAACACAGCTTGGACTGTTAGGTCTCTTATGGTTTTGGTGTGAACACAGCTTGGACTGTTAGATCTCTTATGGTATTAGTGTGAAACAGCTTTTACTGTTAGATCTCTTATGGTGTTAGTGTGAACACAGCTTTTACTGTTAGGTCTCTTATGGTGTTGGTGTGAACATAGCTTTTACTGTTAGGTCTCTTTTAGTGTTGGTGTGAACACAGCTTGAACTTTTAGGTCTCTTATAGTGTTGGTGTGAACACAGCTTGGACTGTTAGGTCTCTTATATTGTTGGTGTGAACACAGCTGAACTT